ACACTGACCCACACAGATATTACCAACGTGTAATAATTTATTTTTTCACTGGTATATAGTCGGAGAATTAAATAATGAATATATATCTCTGTAGAGCCTATGTATTATATTCAAGATGCACTCACTCTTCACCGGGTTCTCGCGAAACGGTAGGAACTACACACTTGTCCCCTAACTCGTGTCGAGCGAGCCGTTGGTGTCGAAAGATCCGTGGACCGATAAAAGATCGATAAGGTAAGGTGTCTTCCAAACTTTTTTTCTCCATCGATCGAGCACCGATACGAGGCGACGCGCGGCGTCGCGTCGCTTCGTTTCGTGCGAGAATCGTAGCCAGATATTACAGACAACAGCGGAAAGCTATTCAGGCACTAAATACGTAAAATACGAAGCTCTTTAAACGAGCTGAAAATCGGATCGCGGATAGCTTTCCCTGCACGGAGAAGACCTTTACGTCGAATTGAGAGATGGAAAGCAAAATCTACGGAAGACGGCCCGTTCATTCACACGAGATGAGTAAATAAAATGAGAAAGAACAATGCGATCAAGGAACGAAGGATCGATCCTTCCGCGAGTATAGTGATAATGTAGAGAAAAAGAGAAACGAGCTCGCAGTTTTATACCGTTCGGAAAACTCGTCCTCGGTACGATTTTACATTTTATTTTTATAATAAATGCAGTAGAATGTAGGAGAAAAAGAGAGCGAGAGAGAAAGTGAGAAAGAGAGAGAGAGAAAGGGAGAGAGAGTGCAGCGAGTGATGTGCAAGGAAAGGAAGAGGAGAAGTAGAAGACGAGATAGAAAAAGAGCCAGCCGGTGTGTTCGCGAAGAACGTAAGTGGCCTCGTTGCACAGGCCCCCATATTTACTCGGCTACGCCTGCAAGTTGGTCCCCGCCCGCCCGTCCGTTGCAGAAAAACCATCGGGAATCGATTTCCTTTCGAGATATTGCCTTTCGATTTGACATCCGGAGTCGATGACCCTCCGAACTGTCGGGGGAACCTCTTCGAATCGTTAAACCTCGGCAATGCGCTTCCTCGTCGCTATGCGTTTAAACTTTGAACCCGGAAATTCTTTCTAATTATTTTCCGATTGCAGCAGGCACTGCTCGCGAATCATTTATAAACAAGTACAAGTTTAAGCAGCTGATAAGATCTTCGTCGATTAATTAAGATAGATTACGTTGAATGTGAGAACACTGATTAGAATAATTAGGGACTTAACGATGATTTGTAGCGTAATCAATCCCTTTTAATAGTATCTTTTTTTTCAATCAAGCAGAATCGTCCGCAGAGCTTTACGATGTTAAGAAAAAGAGACTAGTACAAAGATAATGAGAGTCAATCAGAAGCAGGATGAACGGCGGGTGGGATAGTTCCGGGGGAGCAACGTCGTCGCTTAACGTTCACGAGGTTAATTAGGTGATTACGTAATTAAAAGGCCGCGCGTTATTGTCCTTGTCGGCGAGGCGACTCGTCCGGTTGCAAAAATCAACCTTCATTTCAATGATTAAAACAACATGATTAAAACAAGAATTAAATTTTTACGAAGCTATCTTATCTTCCGGAGTTTAAAACGAACATACTTTAATAATTTTCTAAGAGGCTTGCTTTTACGATTTAACTTTAGTCGGTACGATCGACCTAAACTGTAGGGTGTCCATCATAAAACGCAACCGAAGCTTCGCTTCGTAATGCTACGTCACTATGTACTTTTAGTATAATGCAAATGATTATCGAGATAACGCTTTACAACGAAAATTCCACTTTCGTCAGTCAGAACCGTCTTCCTTTCTCAAAAATTGCCTACAAAAGAAGATATGATTATGGGTCGCGTTTTAAAATGAACACTTCGTATATTTCAGCCGTATTGCAGCCTCAAGATCGTTCTGATTAGTCTCTAAATATTAGCTGCGCGCGATTGTTCCGGCTTCCTGTACTTGAATTAATTCGATAATATGACTTGTAATTTCCGAGATAATAATTACGTCAATCCTCGAGAGTAATGTTTGTATGAAATACGAAATTCGATACTGAAAATTTCACTAAATTTTAAATTACTGTTATTATCTCGCGATAAATCTTCCGTCTTGTCGATAGAAACCTATATTTGATCTCCGCAAATTGAACGTGACGGTCGATCCTCGCCGACGAGTATCCCGCGACTATTACACGTAACAGTAACGGCGGGGGGGGGGGCGCGCGCCAACTAGGTGCTAAAAGTATTCAAAAATGTTAATCCTGTGGCCGTGGGACAAAATGCAAGGATACAGACCCGAGGACAATCCGGAGACCACACCGGCGTCGATCCGCTTTACCGATCAACCGCGTCCGCGCGTCCTATCCTTAGATACTAATTTCTACGACTTCCTCGTAGCGCGTCAATATAGCCGTGTAAATGTCTGGCGCGTAATTTATAAGTATATATGTTTAGTCGCTCTTTCTTACGGACTTTTGTATAGGCCTTTTTGTAAATCTACTATCCTCGCACTCGGTTGGGGCTGTCGAAGTGGATCGACGCTGGACGAACCTTCTTAGAACGCGTCCGAATCGAAGGATTCGGTGCGAGGATGAGGCGAGTTCGCGATTTGTGAGATCCGCTTTAAATCTGAGATCGTATCTAAAAATAAATATTGTAAATAACGAACTTGCATCTTATTTGTGCACCGAAACTTTCGATCTCGTTAGTCGTGCATTTCAGGAAGCTGAAGAATCGTTTTTTATATATCTCGGTCCAAAGAGAAATTGTAGCTGGAAATTTAGTCAAGTTGTGTCGGCTCGAACACTCGAGGTTTGATCGGCGGGATGGTGGTCTCCGGACGGGTTGAGGGGGTGCGAAACAAGTTTTAACCGTGGAACTAACTACTAAAGTAGACGTTGAGAAGACGCTGATGAAGAACAGAACCCTTTAGTAATATCTAAACTTAATTGTAACTATTATAACGATACGTACGACTGTGGTAGCTATGCTAGTACCTGCTATTGTTAAAGAGAAAATGATATGAAGAAGGTAGAGACGATCGAAAGAACGGAAGGGATGCCGCTGGAAAAATCGAACTATAGCATAGTGCTTCAGTGCGTGTAAACATTTGTTCACACGATTTGGTTTCTACGAGTTTCTCTTTGTCATATGTAGCCGCAAACATCTCTATTTAACCCTCTAGGAGTGAATGTTTTTTGCGTTAACATTTATTTTAAATTGAATTCGGGATCTACATAGATTAGTTTACACTTAAGGATCTTTTGACTGTACAATATTAATTAAAAGTATCAGCCAAAAAAGTCCATATCAATCAAAAAGTTTTATCGTAAATTCGTCCTAAAATCAACAAAAAATAAAACAAATTTGGCTTTTAATGGCTTATGGAGTGCAATTACGATATTTTACTGCAGTTTTAGATAAATAACTTTTAAATGAGTAAATGGATCCAAATAAGCTTGCATATTTATTAAAATTTTATTAGCATATAAAAATTTGATTTAATTCGTAATGTTTTCCTATCGTAGTTAAATAACGCGATTTTATATAAGGATTAAGGAGAACAAAAAATAATAACTTTTAAAGAATATGTGTCACAACTTTTGTGTTGTGACACATAGATCCTTAAGAACTGAAAATGCAAATATGGTATATGTAGCATTAAACACTGAAGTTATAAAATTTCTAATCGTCAAACAAGGCTATAATATGCATATCAAAAGATTCTTTGTTCATAAGAAACATTTTAGCAATAAATTTTTTTTAATGACAAGTCAATGGGCGCTTCTAGAGGGTTAATATTTTACTTTGTTAATTTCAATAATTTCATCACCAAACTTGATTGCTTTTTCAAACTCCCAAAAAAATATTTATTTTATGATTGATTTAAAAAAATTAAAATATTAAAAATTCTATAATATATTAATTTTATAATAGACTTGTAAAGTTTATCCTTTTTGTATGTAAATGTTAACTTATTTTTTTTTTTATGATACGCACTCGAGTCATTGTGCATCGAGACAAAAGTTTCGCACCGCGTTCTGTCAGTGAGCCTCGCAAACGATCCAAAGTCTATCTTACGACATCTTGTTTTTTTCGCGTCGACGTGCAAGGCCCTTCGTTTCCGTCGCCCCACACCAGATTATATCGTGATATACTCGACAAAAACACAAACATAAAAAAAATAAACGATGTTTATTTTAATTTTTCTAATCGTTCGCGCATGATTGGCTTCAAATAGCACGAACGATCTTTCACACCTCGTGGTAGCGAAAATCAGATCGGAAATCCGTCGGTCGTGTTCTTCATGTCGCAATCCGAAAGTAACATCTCACACGCGAGAGGAAATCTCGGACGGGCGCACGAGAGTCTCTTTCTCTGTGAGATCGCGAAAGTTTCGACAGTCCGCGGTCGCACCTCGCTGACAGTTCAGGCAGCTGGACGTAGGACAACGACGACGACGGTTGAAGTTGAGGAGGCGATGAAAGGAAGTCGGTGGGTAAAAACTTTCGAAATCATTGCGACCGCGGAAACTTTGCAGACTTTAAACGGGTTTCGTCCGGACTTTCGAATGGCACTCGAATGCGAATAACGCGATCGGCCGGCCGGCCGGCGGCGTTTATGAAAGCCGACAACTTACAGCCAGGTACGCGATCCGAAAGTTTCACGCTCTGAAGAATTCCACGGATGTTATACTCGGGGGCGACGGAAAGGGCGGAAGGAGAAGACGGAGCGCAAAATGCGAAACGGGGGAGGGTAGAGATGGTGAGAGAAAGAGAAATAGAGCGGAAAAGAACGGCAACTCAATGCAATAAGTCGCGAATCAAATGGATCTCGGCTTGAGACGAGAGGCTCAGATTAGCGAAGAATCAAACACGATGTATACTCTTTAAAACAAACAAACAAAAGTGAAAAGACGAGAAATAAAGGGGAATACGAAACTAAGAGGCGCGCGCGCGTAAAGTGCGCAACGGGGCGCGAATAGGGTGGCGCGAATCAACGTGAGAGAGAAAGAGAAAGAGAGAGAGAGGGTGGGAGAGAAAGAGAAGTTAAGTGAATCTAATTAATACTGATAGAGCATACACATTGAGATACACAAAAACATATAGTATTATACGTTTTACGATACAATTGTAATGAACACTTTGTAAGCAAAGGAAAAAAAAAAGTTACGCATAGTTTTCCATACCCCGTAATGAATGTAATTCGTTGAGAGGGAAAGTTCAGACAAACAAATATACATAAGTACACACGGTCCACGAACTCACACATAGACGGACGGTCAAAAGGAATTACATGCGTACAAGCGCGCGCATACATATACACACACGTTCGAAGTCACTCGGGTACACATAAGAATTAATAAGACAAAAAAGAAGTCAGTAATCTGTCTTTAAAGTATCATGTGTCTATAAACTATAGCGATTGATATTGTCTCTTAAATAAATGGCAAAAAAATACAAATAACCGTGGTAACGTCGTGTAAGGTAGCGATAAACAAACACTCTGCAATATAATGACATAATATATATTCTTACATTTATAATGGCGGAACATATGAGGGATATATATGTGACGAGAGCGACTCTGCGGGAAGCCCGAAAGATCGTAAAATGCGTGTCGAGGAGTATCGAAGGACGCCATCGCGAGAGAATTGAATCGGTCTCCTTCCCTCGGAATCATCCTGAACGAAAGAGAGAAGAAACAAAATGGCGTGTTTTGATACTGCCGAATGCGCACGGAGATGTCACACGGATATACACGAAACACACACACATGGACATACAAAGTACATGGACATACAAAGAGAGATCCAAAAAAAAAGAAACTATCGATTATTCTACCAAGTAAAAATGAATTAACCAGAGGATGATAATTAGATTTGTAATTAATTACATATATATTTTTCAATACTTTAACTACTTGCTGAATGTAAACTATATACATATAATTATATATATTATATACATATATTATATATATATATTATATATACATACACACCTCTAATGTGCGCGATGCCGCGCGTGAAAAGTGAAGAAGGGTGCGGCGATGAAAGCAGCCTCACGGAAAATCTCTGAAAGAACGCTGAGGGAGAAAATTAAAAGGATAAAATCTAAGGAGGATTGCCTGAAAAATTTCTGGGATGGAGAATTTATTGATTAAAATAATAGTCCTCCGATTTTTTCAGTGTCTTCCGGAAGACTTTCGGCGGCGTCTTTCATCGGCGTAATCGCTCGCTTCCGGCTCGACTGCGGCTCGAGAGGAAAAGGAGCGAAAACGTAAACATCCGGGGGAAGAAAGGGAGAACCGCGAAAGGTTGTCTTTCGTCGCGTCGGATCACGTCGAGCGGAAACGAGCGACGGGTACCCTTCTTCGATCGCTCCCCTTGGGGAGGCGAAAGAGTTTCTGCGAGATCTTTTTGTACCCCACCCAAGTTATACTCTCGGTGTCGAAAAAAAAAAAACTACGTTACACTACGTGTAAGTGCATCCTAAATGTAACTGTTAATTGCCCCTACTCCAAACCCCCCCCAACCCATGCCATTTGTAGAGAGAAGAAATCGCGAGTGTGGGGGAGAGAGAGAGAAAGAAAGAAAAAGATGCATGTAAGACGGAACGATTGGCTGTGTGAATTAATTATATGGTAGTGCGTGCATGTATATGTGGGAGTGTGAAGAGACACGTCCGTTCGCCTTAGTTACTTTTTTCCTGGGTGCAAAATGGGAAAAATGAAGATTCTTTCAAATGATTTTTGCACGCCTATGATTGTTATGTAAATCGTATACTTACGATTATTACTATTACGATTATGATTATTATCTCCACCCCTTAGATGACAAAGAAAGAGAGACAGACACACTGCGCGCCTATATATATCTGTATATAGGTCTTTTCTCACCTCACCTTATTTCTTTTCTTTTTTCTTTATCAGTTAATTTTTCTTTCTCTGTTTTTATATACATATATATATGTATACACACACACACATATATATATATACAGGGTAGCCCACGTAAAGTGTTACAAGCTAATAACTCTAAAAATATTTGTCTTATCAAAAAGTTGTTCATGAGAAAGTTTCATATATTCGAGGGGCCTTTCTAACTACGTAAACAAAATTCTATCCCCGTCCCTCCTTGAAGAGGGGCGAGGAGTAACTTCAAAGTTTCAAATGGAACCTCCTGTAAAATGTTACATATTTGGATTCTACGGGAAAAAACAAGTAAACTTTAATGTAGAGTGCATTGAAATTAATGATAAATTAAATAAGACTCATAGTTTTTCTTATTTTATTATGTTTTTTTTATTTTATTAACTATCGAACTGTTGACCATTAACATCTAAACACTTATTAATTTTTACAAAACTTTGCCTAACTCTAAACAACATTTCTGGATTCACCTTAGTAAATGTTGCTTCATCAGAAAAAAGAATATTTTGCAAAACTGAATCATTTATCATGGCATCACGCATCCATCGTAAAATATTACACGACGTTCATAATCAGTTTCCAAAAATTCCTGAATCAAAATCAAACGATACGGATGAAATTTTTGTTTTTTCAAAATCCGCTGTATTGAAGACCACCCCTCTTCAAGGGAGGACGGGGGTGGATTTTTGTTTACGTAGTTAAAAAGGCCCCTCGAATATATAAAACTTTCTCATGAACAACTTTTTGATAGAACAAATATTTTTAGAGTTATTAGCTTGTAACACTTTACGTGGGCCATCCTGTATATATGTATGTATTAGAGATGTATTTTCTGTTGGCTCGTTAGATTTTGTTCCTTTATTTTTATACGAAGACGCAACATCGACGACGACGCGTCGTTGATTTTTACCTATAAATATATATACATATACATATGAATATTATAATTGTAGCTCGCTTATAAGATTATCGTTCAACCCTTCTTTTGATATAGTTTGTTATTGTTGTTTTTGTATGATATTTGATTATATATACCGGCGCGCCCGTGTCGCGCGTCAGAAATAATATATATAAATATATACTACCATATTATATATATAATATATATTTTTGTTAATAATACAGTGGTTTGATAACTACATTAGCCTGTTAATGATGAATTTGTTTCTCTGTTTCTTACGGCCCGTGAATATATATAGATAGACACACGTGCATATACATAGATATATATATTATACATATATACATACCTATATATATATATAAATATCGATTATATATATATATACATATACCGCTACATTATATTTTGTTTAACAGTGTGACGAAGCGACAATGAAGCGTTTCTTGAAATTTGTCGAGCGACTTTACAAGGGGCTCCGACACGAAATATTGAATATCGAAACTCGCGTGTAATATAACTTATAATATCATTTTGTAAATTATTTTTTGTATTTTTATATATATATACATATATAAATAACGAAAGCATACAAAAGAGAGTCGCGGAACAGTGTTATGCGCACGGCGAGAAATCAAGAAAGTTGTGTGTGTGTGTGTGTGTGTGTGT